CTGTACACAATTCATACAACGTTTTTCAATTATTTTCATTACTGAGTTAAGGTGATCTCTGGTTATCTCTACGGTGCCACAATATCTTGGCGACCCCGCTCACCCGCTCCCCTAGACTTAAAAATATCTCAATAACCAATCATTTTTCGACCATTATACTTCAATACCTTTTTATGTAGAATGTCGAAAGGAATCTATCTGTGTAAAAAAAAGTATGAATTTTCATTTTAAAAAATAATACAATTATTGATTACACATGCATCATTGCACTTCTAAAAAAGATATGGTCTTACGGATGTAATACTTTTTGAACAATTCACCTTCCTCCTCTGACATTTTTCTGTAACTGTACTGGTAACGGAGTTATAACATGTAACAACTGCGTAGACTACCCTGTATATACTATAGTCCGAACTACCGTCACACCCTCATTAATAAATTGGCGTAAGTGTTCTGTCGGTTTCAATAGAGTTGACTATTTCTTATTGTACTTGTATTAAACGTGTAGGCGTGTGATCTAAAAATGCTTGTAATTGTATTTCTGCAGTAATCTCTGTAATATTTATATATTGTTGACAGGGATAGCAATCTTTTTTTCCTTGCACAACCAAGAAATAGCTTGGGTATATTTTTGCATTTCGTGATTTCGCTTGCGGATATATCAAACGATACCGATGTGACGTCATTTTTGTATCTATTATATGTATATGTATATGTATGTGTTATGGTAAGTGATAACTTTTTTCTATTTTACTGACCCTTGTTAGAGAATTCATTCTTACCTCTTTGAAAATTACGGCCGCATCTCGTTTCCCTTCTCTACGTAAGCTAGTTTCAGCCGCAAAGCATATCTCTTCGCTAAGTGCCATATCTAATGTAGACTAAATTTTACTTGTTTTACTTCTTTCATTACTTTTTCGAAAACATTTTGTAGGACGACCGACAGGTGTTACAGGTACTCTTACTAACACAGATGTACATGGTGTATTTATTCCATGTCCGCAAAGTTAATGGTTCCTGCATAACCACTTTCCTTCATTCTTTAAAAATGATTAATATGTTCGTTTATTTGCTTTCCGCCTACTGGCTAATTGAGAGCACAAAGATTCAGTTCTCTTCCTGATTATATCTATGCTACTCTGTTCTACTAGTTTGGTTCAAAATATTCAACACATATTACAAAACATTTTCCCTCTTTTTTGATGAATATTTTTCTTTTCTCCAAATTTCAAAAAGACCTTTTCGAGCTGTTCCGTCGCGCAGGGGTCTTCGTTGACCGGGTTTATGACACGCTCGCACCAGAAGGTTATTTTTAAGAACAAAGACGCTTCGTAGCTCCGCGAAAATATAGGTAATTTCTTGCAAACAATGGCTTTAGAATTTCTATCTTTCGGCGTCCTCAATAGCCGAAGACGTGTCACAAACCAGGTATTCCTGAAGGGTCAATACACACGCGCGTATAACGGCACTTTCGGCCGAGGGTTGACATTTTTCCTGTTTTTACACTCACTACACGATACCTCACAAATCCCCAAACCCTACAATTAGACACTATATTGGCAATGTAGCAGCAATAAACCCATAAGGCCAACCGATGTCGCAGCACCCTCATAACAGTTCCATTGACTTTAACTTTAAACCTTCAGAAAGTATATTCACCAGATGCAAACACACACTTCTCTCGCGACCAGTATCATTGTCACTCAGAATATAATTATACTTGTTAATAGTTAACCCCTTACACTACGCTGAACCTCGGAAAAAGCCAGGCCAAACCTGTCCGCCTGAATGGTCGCGCAGAGAGCCGAGTGGCGGAGCCCGATTTTGAATAATAATTGCAAAATGTAAAGAATAAATTAATAAATGTAACTAACTTTTTATGAAACTACAGTATAATAGGTTAATAATAACATTAATTGGAGTGTAAAGAAAAAAATGGGTGAAATATCATATGAGGGTCTTTTGTGTTACTATTTCTGAGGAGCGTATGAGGGTTAAAAAGGGAAGCATTTTCCCAGAGAGATTATTGTTGTTGTTTGGGTTGCTGACGCGAGAACGGACTTTATTCGTTTAGTTGTTTAGTCGTTAGTTGTATTTTAGTATCACCTGCGTTAATTTTAATCATTAATTGTTTTCTATGTACAGGGTGTCCCAGCCGAAGCAGGCCACCTAAATATTTCCTTCGTTTTTCATGATATAAAAAATATTTATGACATTGTAGCGTGTACGTCATCGTCAACAAACCCTTACCGAACGTCGTTCTATTCTTCCACGCCAACTTTCTCTTTTCCAACTCCTTCAGATTTTAGTTTCCGTTCTTTTGTCTCTCCCCGGGTTAAGACTTGCTTTCGTCCTCGAGTAGCCTAAGAAGCGCACATGTCGCATCCAGGTTCGCACGAGGACGAACGGCCCGCTTTCTACGAATTTTCCGTTTCCACCACTTTCTCCACTTCTATCTTTATCTATCGCTACTCCTATCTCCTTGTCCTAACAATATAAAAACCCAGTACGCCTACACCTCCGGACAGTTTTTCCTTTACCGACCATCGCGACGTACCCGCCGAACCGCTGCCGCCGGGACAATTAACAAAATAAACGATTGTATTTTCTGGACCAATTATACGCCTATACGACCATACACTTATATTTTAATAAATTGAGGTGAAAACAGTGTAACGACGTTCCTCACCCACCTCAACATAATATTAATGGTTTGAAACGAGAAATAATCTGGAAAAAGAATTTTTTTTGTCAGGTCTTTTTTTCTTGGTTTTTTCCAGGTCACTGTTATTGTTTATGTGAAAAACACGTATTTTATTTCATTGCATCTTGTAGTGGATGAAAAAATACATTTGAATACGTTTCACTCATGACCTTGAAATGACCAAGTGACTTTAGAAGTGAAAAATGTAATTTTTCCTGAATAATATTCGAACTTACTATTTATGTTGTAGCGGCCAGCTACAGGCCACACTTGGCGCACAGATGACCAGCGCGGTTTATGACGGGCGCGCTAGCAAAAACTATTTTTGAGGAAACCGTTTTTAGCTGTTTAACTTTTCTTAAATATTACAAAACATGTTTTTCGTAAAAACTTTCACCGACGGTCTCAATAGTAAATTGCCCCGCCATAAAACTAAGATTTCCGAAAGGTTCGCCGTACAGGGCCACGAGGCCGAACATGTACATATCACAGGTACCGAACCTAGAGGAAATTCCGCTGAGTTGCTAAGTCTCCGACGGCGAACTCGCCCCCCCACTAGAAAGCCTCGCTGTCCTGGAAAAAGCGCGCCAAGGGCGCAAGGGGCAAGCGTAGACTAAGTAACGAAATTCCTGATTGGTTAACCCGATGCATCGGTATTAACCAATTAGGAAAAGTAGTGAAGAGTGGAACAGGAAAAAGCTGGGGAGGCAGTCAGTCATTCTCTGACCTCTCGAGCCATCAGTCAAAAATAAAAAGACTTCACAGAGTAATTGTGTGGGTGTATTTTACCCCGACCACGTTCCCTTCTTATCCGTCAAGACCTACAATGTTATTAAGTGTTCAAAGTGATATCCATCGGTAGCGATACACTTTCTGATACGAGTTATTACTACTTGTCATGCTCTTTCAACTAATTGTAAGTTGTGTTTATCAACAGATACGTATAAAGATCTGATTCGTAGCTGACTACGAAGAGATTGTTAGGACTAAATAAACCTTAACAAACGTCTCACGATGTTCTATTATTCGAAGGAAGAACAAATTAATCTGATTTACACTTACGGTGCAGCTAATAAGTGCATAAGAGGAGCTGTACGACTGTACAAAGAACAATTCCCTAATCGAAACTGTCCATCACATTTGTCGTATGCTGCGGTTATCAAGAAATTCGAACAAACCGGCAATATTCAAAGAAAAAAACCTTTCAGAACTAAACCTGTTACACACGAGGCAAACTTAACAAGAGTCGGTCTTGTAATACAAAGCTACTATACAGAGCGGTTTGTATTGGAAAACCTTACCGCAAAAGTCATTAGCTTCTAATGAAGCTTCTAATAAAGTCAACAATGATAGAGTAACGTATGTTCTGTTCAAATGCTACAGGATCGCATAAACTTCGGCTAACAATGTCTGGAAAATCAAAAAATCCTCCTTGTTTTAAGCATATATCAAGTTTACCCATCATATATCGAGCTCCGAAAAATGAATGGATGAACATAGATGTCTTTAACTCTGAGTGCTATGGACGCATACATTCGTCCGGCGAAAGCTATCGGTGTGGATTATGGGTGCATAAATACGTTCGGTAAAAGTTACCAGCATAGACTTTGGGCGCATATATGCGTTTATCAATTCTTTTTTATTTTTCGCGTACTGCAGTTACGATTTATCGCATTGAGCAACAGGAACGAGGAATAAGAATATATCAAAATCAAGGCGCTGGGAACAAAGCATGTGTAGTTAACCCACGTTCACCAGTGCAGGCGGCCCCAAAACTGGAGCCGTGGTGGAGTCGGTTCAAATCGGCTCGCAGCTCCGCCTCCCCGTGGCCCCTGCTGGTAACGACGCTCCGGGCTGCCCTGCAGCCGAATACCTATTGACAAACACGAATACAACTGTGTATACACAGCTACCAAAGTGGATAAAGATGCTGCTTTCGTATATACAACAGGCGATGAGAGTGCTAGGACTTGTTCAGGCATACTAATGACACCAGATGCTTACTGGTAGAAGTTAGTTGGTTTGTTCGAATACCCAGGTGGATTACCGCAGCTATATGAAGTAATGCGAGAAACAAGAGGGCTCTCAAACGTGCTAGGCACTTATGCCGGCTTAGCAAATAAGGAAGAATATGTGATTACTATCCAATGTTCTAGAAGGATTTAGCCTCGAAAAGGTGAACGCGGGGTGCCTTCTGGTAAGAGGACTGTGAAAAACAGCGCAGCACTTACCCCAAAACCTCGAAACAGAGCAGAGCGGTAAAAGTGATAAATTAAAACAAATTCATATTTCTAACATGTTATTACTACAAAAGTTTCACTTTAATGATAATAATATCATAAATAACCCAATAACAAAAATACGACCAGTAGTCGACAAACTGAAGATATTCTTTTCGCAATCATTTATACCGTATGAAAATCTATGCATTGACGAAATCCTCTTACTATACAAAGGCAGATGTTACTTTAAACAGTTTATACCTTCTAAGAGAAGTAGGTTTGGCATCAAGACATTTGTCCTTTGGAACTGTAAAATTAATTACATGTCGTTCGCTAAGACACGAAATTATGACGCGACGACGACACCACCCGTTGTCCCGCATCACCGGTTTATACTTGCAAATAGACAACTCGCGAAAAAGATCTTTCTTCGAATAACGAGCATTGATTGGCCCGTTCCTCGAATTTGTAGCTTCGGAAAATTGTATATAAACAACATTCCATTGTAAAGACTAGACCCAGTAAAACATTGTATCTCAAGCTGAAACGTTGCTCCACAATAAAACACAGCAACTTACAACAAAATTCGTTTTCATAACTAAACATACTCTCTATGACCTTTTCATCCCATATCCTCATTGGGTTGAAAAAGGACTGTGACGCCTCACATCAAGAAATAAGAGCGTGGTACAAAACATTACATATTGGACTTTGTAATTCATTCCGGAACAAAACAGAGATTAATCAAAGTATTGCAGCCATTGGAATTTCTGGAAACGTTGTAATGACGCTTCTTCCACCTTATCTTGTAAAGGGTCATGCACTAATTACAGATAATTGGTATACAAGCCCACGTTTATATATTTTACTACCTGAACACACATCTAATGCATTTGGGACTGTTCGTAAAAATAGAAAAGAAATGCCTTGTATGGAAGAAAACCTGAAGATGGGAGAAATTTGCTACTGGTCCGGTAACAATTTATTGGCAATGAAATGGCGTGACAAAAAGGACGCCTGTCTGTTGTCTTCTGTACACACAGTTAGGTTGATTGAAATTGAGAGAAGAGATTATCGTACAGGATTAAATAAGAAAAAACCATAGTTTATGTCGAAATCGGCTTTGCTTCCTCACCTCTGAGCCAAGGAACACCCACTTGGAGGGATTTTGGCCAATTAAAAGCAAAGTATGAGAGGTTCTTCTTTGGACCAGGCTGGGTTAATGGTTGGGATACCCTCAGAGTCTCGGCATCCTCAACAGTCGCAGACCTTTACCCAGTGACCGTGGTACGGGCTCAGCTACCCCGAGGCACCTGAGCTCCACAAACCATAATCCTCTTAAGGCATATTTCGCAGGAACGGAGGGCTTCCCTTAGCTGACCGACCCGCGGGGGTGAAAACCCCTTAAAAAATCCCTAACTCCAAACTATGGCGCGTGGTGAGGAGGGTCCGCCCTGATCTTGCACATCCGGACGTAGCTGGAGGGAGCACCAGTTACTAACGGCCACCCCTCGGGAACCGGGCGAAACCCGGGATGTAATAACCTTACCCAGGCAAGGGCGGCTCTGCCTGTGTAGACTCTAATAAACGCCGGACCCCTCTCGTGGGAACGAAATGGAAAAGCCTAACAATTCTTTTCATTTTTTATATAGGAAAAACAGGAAGAAGATTCTGCAGCAGAGGATGGACAAAAGGCGCAGGAATACGCTGAAACAAGCAGGAACAGTAGGGACTCTGATGAACCTCTAACGACGAAAATTCTCCCAGGGAAGAAAAGGAACGAAGAAGAAGTTGAGGAGAGGGGAAAAGAAGAAAAAACCGAAACAAGTCACAAATTACGTGTACCCTGTTATCAATATATCATGTTATTTGTATAAAGACAAACACTTTACTTTTACCTATCCGAAGCTCCGAACTGTTCAGGTTAATGTGGTAAAAAACGCAGATTTTTGCATTAATTGTCTATAGATTATTCGCCAAAACGATCACTTTTTGACGTCGACATCAGGGATTTTGTTCTAAATGAAATATAATGTAGGAATTGGGGTTTCGAATTTGTTTAAAAACTACGGATCTTTGAATTTAGTAATTTTTACCCATATTTATGAAAAGGGGCTGCAATTATCAATTTTCATCTCAGAAACTGTTAGTCGAATTGAGCTAATTTTTTTTTTTGTTTCAGTCTAGAAGGATTGCCCTATTGTAATAATATTTTTGTTGTTTGAAAAATTGATTTTATAATACTGAAAATCATAAACAAATTCTTATTTTGTAAATTTCTCTGTGATGGGTTAGAGGTGTTCAAAGTTTGTAAAAAATATGGCCACATTCCTTGAAATTCTACCTATAAAATGAACCCTTTTGCAGAATGGAGTTTTTAAAATTAACGTCACAAGGGCTGAAAAGGAACTGATGTACCCCCGTTTTATGTAAGCGAGCCATGCACTCTGCTATTACAGCCGGTTGTCTGTACCGCTCGTACCCCATAGTACCCGAGATGATGACAGCCTCTATAAAAAATCCTGAACCTTAAATTATGCCGCGCATCGACGGGGTACGTCCTTGTCGATGGCACTGGGACGAGGCTGGTGGGTTTACCAGTTTTTAGCGGCCAAATTCCGGGTACATGGTGACCTCTGGTTTTATTTAGCCCTATCAGGGTAAGGGTTAGCTCTATTCAGATCGACAGTTTATCCACCCAACTCGTGAGACCAAATATGGAAACTCAATTTAAAATAAAAACCATGAAATCCAAGATAAAAGACGTTAAGAAAGAGGAACAAGAGACGTCTGCTGCGTCGGAAGGTGCACGAGAGTGCAGTATTCCGAAAAAGAGGAGAAGGAAAACTGATGTAGAAGTTGAAGAGACACAGTTAAAGACGACGAGTGTAGTTAATCTCGACAGTATTAAGGAGCAACTAGAAAGTGGACTAGCAAGGAACATCCTTGAGACAGCAGTGATGAAAAGCAGAATCATAACGCTGGAAGAGAAAGTTTTTGCCATCAAGAGCAAGCACTTGCCTGCCAGAAGCTATGCCGAAACTGCTGGCAACAGTCAACCTATGAGCCAAAAGCCTCCGCGGAGGGATAAACCCAAAAAAGAAATAATAATAGTCAAGAAACCAGAGCCTGATAGCCAGGAAACGAGTGAATCAATAAAACAGAAGATCTATGAGGTGCTGAAGGAAAAGAAAAGAGATCGCCAAAAGTGGCGATGACATGCTTTTGATCAAAAGTGCTAACTTTGGCTAGGCCGGGCTTGAAGTACGAGAAACCTAGGAAGATTGGACCGTTTGGATCTGGATGGGAGTAGGACAACATCAACTAATTTTTCTGGTGCTGCCGGCACCAATCCATGGCGACGTCTTATTACATATACATAGTTAGTTCCTTCCTGTAACGTGCCGACTGCGCAATGTTCTACATATGTACAAATAAACCATATTATCTTTTTCATTATTCCCGATCTGCTTGCCACGACCTCTCCAACAATTAACAATGGCAATCAAAAAACTGCAAGTTAATGCACAAAAATCAGTCACCGTAGCAACAGAACTGAGAAAACTAGCCATAGATAAAGGACTTGACGTTATGCTACTACAGAAGTAGTAGAAGGATACATCCCACTAATCGCAAGAGTAATTGCGAAAAATAGTGCAATGAATGGCAAAGGTTAAATTCGAAATAGTGGTATTTAATCAAGAAATGTGACCAACATAAGCCAGCTATGTACGGATGAATTTGTCTGCGTACATCTGAGTATAAGTGAGGGTGATATATACCTGGCCTCGATATATTGCGTGCTTGGCGACGCAATGGAGAAGTATGTGCAGAGGATGTTTGAAGTCGTAGAATGCACCCAGAGTAATGTTATCATTCGTGGTGACCTGAATGCAAAGTCCAGTTTCTGGTATAGTGCAGAAACAGACGCGAAAGAAGCTGTCGAGAAGATAGTATTAAACAAAGGCCTGGTGGTTGTGAACCAGCCGGAAAGCCCGCACACATTGCGAACGGTGAATGGAAAATTAAACATAGATATAACGATCGCAACGTACCTTACAGCATCTAAAATTCAAAATTGGGCAGGGAAACTGAGCTGGTGCAACAGCAATCATCACTGTATCTATACTTTGAGCTCAAAAACCACAACCTGAGCAGGAGAGATATAAACAGAACAGCACAATTTAATATTAAAAAGGCAGACTGGTGCAAGATCAAAGATCTATTTGTGGAACAGTTTGATGCAGCAAAGCTGGACCAGTTAAAAGATGCCACACCAGAAGCAGCAATAAAGAGTTTTAACTACAAATTAATCAAAGTAACCATAAAGAAAAAAGTCCTTTTCACATGAAAACGTAGAAAAAGCAGCGAAACAGATGAACAGTAAGCAGAAGACATGTCCAGAGATGTAAAAGGCTGAACCTGGCTGAGGAGGTGGCAGCGGCCAAAAAAGACCATAGCAGAAAGAAGAATGTTTATAATAAAATCATAAAACAAAGTAAGAAGAAGTCTTAGGAGGACTTCGTTCGAGACAATGTCAATAAGGATCCATGGGGGGTCATACATAAGATAATGTGTGGCAAAATAATATAAGGAGACGTATACCACACAATAATAACGAATGGTGAAACCAGCAATAGGACGTGTTTGCTCTCTCTTGCTCGTGTGTGTATTATTAGTTAACTCTTAGTGTTATTCTGTTCTTATCGAAGTTCATAGAAGGGAAACTCTTGTCATCTTAACTTGTTCTCTTCTCTTCCTTTTTTTTTTATATTCCGCTTTTCGGAACGTGGCTAGTGTTTCTGTTAACAGGGGTACTTGCTTCTATAAAGTTATATTTTTCTCATCATAAATTCATCGATACAGAAAACTTCTACCACGATGTCTTATGCTCAAATAGCACAACAGACGCAGTTCCTTACTAGAGAACAGGCTATTGTTCTTGATTCAGTTGAAGGTATCTCGATTCAAGAGTATACCGTGGCAATAGGAAAAATTTTTTATCCGAAGAGCATTAGGTTCGTCTCAAGAATTTTTCATGGCAGTGTCTATTTATATTTAAACAGCAAGGACAACGCAGACAAACTCACTGATTCACACAAGAAAGTGGTCAACATGTTTTGGAAATCCGTTCTCTTATTTCGAAGGCCAAACGTATTCTCTCTAACGTGTGTCCTATAATTCCGCATCATAATGATCAAGAAAAATTTGCCAAGCATAATATTTATCTGTCTTCCCAAATCACTTTCATCACAGCCGGCATTAACGATCCTAGTTATGCTCACATCCTAAGTTTTCGAAGACTTACGTCCATCCTGAAGATGTTATAAACCTCCCCGATGTGTTGCAGATAAACTTCGACAATATTAATTATTGGATTTACCTATCCACTGAAAAACTTTCCTGTTTTCTCTGCAAAGACGGGGGACACTTAGCCAAATTTTGTAAAAATACTGACCCCTCTCCTCAGTACTCTTCAAACTTACCGAGCCATACAAATGAAGATAACTCTGCTATAATTTTATCATGTGACAAGGGCAAAATTTTGAACTCCAGTCCAACTACGTCTGAAGATAAAGATTCACCCCTTCAGTTAGCTAGTGCTCATCGCCCCATGCCACCACCTTCAGCCATTAAAAGGCTACTAACTAGCTCTACATCCATCGCCGAGACTTTTTGGGGTTCGGGAAATAAGCACGAAAATGATGCTCCTACTAGAATTAAAAAGGTAACCAAAAAAATCAAAAAATCTAAAAAATCTGAAATCTTGATCCAAGAATTATCTACTCAGTTGCAACCGGCCAGAGAATAAATTTCAGTAAATTTCCATAAATACCCACTTAATTTCGACAATATCATTGATTTTCTACATACTTTTTATGATAATCCAAAAGTTTTGGAAAATACCTTGAGATATACAAAAGACATTCCTGCCTGTACCATCATGTTATCAGACGTAAAGGATCTGTTCTTCGCACGCAGCTTAAAAAATCGCATTATTAGTATCATAAAAAAGGTTATAAATTACAATTCAAATTCCGATCTGGATGATGGTTCTAGTACCGATTCGTGCTCTATGGAAGCACAAGGAACATAATCTTGCCT